ACTTTGATCATCTGTCCTGAGGACATCAATCCAGAAGGTTTGTAGTTTTTCCAGATGGATCTTTACGACCCTTTGATTTTAAAGAGAAGAAAGTTTTGCCTTCAGCCTCTTTCAAACAAGCTGTGCTATACTATTTACTTGTTGGAATTTTTTCAAACTATACTGTGATTAGATTTAACATTTAGTGTGCAAACACATAATTTTAGGGTAATTTGCCGCTGGGGGCCGTTAGCTCTGCATGGTTTTTCTGGGGCTTGCAGTCTTACAAAGACTTAGTTTCTACTTTAGCTGTCTTGTTCTCTAAAACCCATTTTGCTTTATGGAAATAAAATTGAAATACTCATAAATAAATATCATAAATAATTTTGTAGTGATGTTTAGTGTTATTTTTAATAGTTGCTACAGTTGAGTATTCAAATAAAGAAATTAAGCTTTTGTTTCTTTTTTATTTTATTTGCAATAACCACCATTTTTTGGTCAAGAGAAGTCTGTTTGGTGGGATGGAGATATGATGTGATTCACTGGCACAGAGTTCTTTCATAATTTCAGATTTATAATTTACAGCCATTGTTTACATCCAGATTTACTGTTTGGATTTTCTTGTGGAGAGTAATGTCATAAAGCTCGGATGAAACTCGTTCAGACTGCGGTTGCTTGGAAAACTATCAGGTACTTCTTCTTTTAGCCACCTTGAAAATCATACAAATGTTTTTGGATGTCTCAAGAAAGATCTGCTGCAAAATGTAATTGAGAAGCTATAACTCATTTGGTACAAATTGTAAGAGTAGTTATATATCTCATTGCAATGACAGCAGAAACTTTCCCCTGAAATATTGTACCTTTTAAAGGTTGTTTCTTGTATTCTGCATTTCCACTGAAGGTGTGGGAGGGCAAAACATAGTGCTTGTCATCATTTGGTGGACATTTTTAAAGAGGAAAGTCAAGTTTATTGATCGTATTTAAATGTAAAACCCGCTTTATATCTGATGTATTTATATGTAATGTGTATTTTACAGAATTTTCCTTCACTTGCCAATTATCCGACATACAGGTGGCAATTTACTGCTAGGCTCTGAACTTGGATAAAGAGGCATTGGCACAGTTACTGCAAACTCTGTCATGGTAGATTTTTTTTTTCCCCGTGTTTGCGTGGGTTGCAGAAAATGTTAGAACTGCAGACAGAGAGAGACCAGCAGGCTCTCAGTGAAAAGATTGCCATTTGGACAGGTAAATGAAAGGCAGAGAAGAGAGAGGGCCGGGAGGATAAATGAGGACTACAGATAAAGGTAAGCATGGAGAAAATGGAGGGCTCTTCAGTCCGAACATATCTGAGCGGGAGGGAACCAGATGAAAACAAGAAGAGGGCAGAAAAAGGGGGAGAAATTGTTGGGGAAGAGAGTCCGAGGAGGAGAGAGAGATCAAGGTCTGAGGAGAGGTAGAAGGATGAATGCACTGTTTGAATTATGTAAAATACCTGCGTGGGAGAGAGGAGGTGTGTGTTTGAACATCATGACGGAAAAGCAGAGAGAGCAACAGAGCAATGAGATGGATGGTGTGATTTCAAATAAAAGTCAGATCTGGAGTCTGAACTGTAAGAATAGGACAAATGTAACCGACCTGTGTGCAGGATTGATCTTTGGGATAAAAACGGCAGAAACCTGCAGATGTGGAGAGATGAAGCGGGCTTTCATTCTTTCCTGCTGGATTCAGGAGACTGGAAATGATTATTCAACCGGGGCTGTTAGCATGCCACCGTGTGTTTATTAGACAGGACAGCAGTTTGTTCATATGTGGGGGAATGTGCCGCGACACGCTGGCTGCTTTTCATAACTGTTCATATTTAAGATGCTCTGGCAAAAGCCACAATCTTTTTTTGTAGCAGGCTGGAAATTTGTCAATTTATTTGATTTTTTCTAACAGCTGTTTGACAAATTTACATGGATATTTGCAAAAAGATATTTCTGCTTCCAAATGATGAACATTAACATTTCCATTATCCAGTGCAAACTAGCAGATGGCTTCCAGTCAGTGAATCATAATGACTGGATTTTCCTTTATTGCTCACATTTGACCACATTTGCAAAGCTGATGACATTCTCAGCAGTCCATTACTTATTTTGTGTTTGTCTGACAATATGACTACTTTAGAACATTATTAAAAAAATGTAAAAAGATCTTATAGACTGTTATTGGATCATAATTATGCCAGTGGCAGCAAACACATCTGTCCATTCTAAAAGAGATGCTTACATAACTAAAAGATGAGTATATACTGTCAATATTAACATTCCCTCAGGAGAATTGAGCTAAAACCAATATGTTCGCATAAAGTAAACAATTGTTCTCTGTTTTTAACAAATAACTAGAATTTTTGTCTTATTTCAGCGCGTAAGTTTATGGGTAAATAAGTACCCACTGTTGCCAAATTGACGATTTTTAGTGACGTTTCAGACAGAAAAAGAAAACAGCATTGGTTAGAATCAGCAGGCCAGGATTTTTAAAGGAAACTACAATCGTAACTTTAAGCAAATCAAACCTTTGAATACTAACTTTTTCCGCGTTTTGCCTTGCTGTTTTCTCATGTTTGCTTTGATTCAAATTATGCTAGATAAAAGTTGTTCATGCTGTGAAAATGTGCGCTGCAAGTTTGAGTTTCAAAAATGGAGAGTAAAATCATCAAAGTGACTCAAGAGAAACGGGGAAAAAAAGACATATCTGCATAGTTGCACTGAATGTACTTTGAAACATCAAAACACTATGAAACTAACTCAAATATGCTCTAATCATATCTTAAATGATTGTAACAGCCACATATTCATTTATAAAATGTGTGTAATTGAAATGTAGTGGTGGTGCTGCCTTGCAGAAAGAAGGTTCTGGGTTTGAACTCCTGACCTTATTCTCGGGTTCTCTCCAGGCACTACATGATAGCTTATCCTGTTTTTCTCTTGTAATAATATGGTGACTTATCCAGTGTGTAGCCCGCCCCTCACTTTGTGATTTCGCATGGATTGTAGAAATCAGATAAAAACAGGTCTGTTCAACTAACTTCCTTTTATGCTTTAAGAGAAAACTCATGCTGGTGATAAACATATAATTTGTGGGTACTTTCCAGCACAGTCAAAACACAAGTGAAGTAAAAACATAGCAGCTGCGAATTTGAGACTCCAGCATTGTCAACGGTCAGATTAGTCATTTATTATTTATGTCAGAAACTCTTTCCTTGCTGTTTTCTTTCAGTGAAAAACTAAGTCACCTTGGTTTTGCATACATCTGTCCAGGAATGAGTTATCAGAATACCAGAACCAAATTTTACGGCTTTATTTTTACTCACAAGAGAGGCTGGAGTTTGAGCTTGCATATAGAGAATGAAGGATCTAAAACTAAAGTTTTATTAACCCTGAATGCAAACATTGTCTGTGTTGTATTTCTTGCGTTGCTCGGAGGTGCAACAATTTCTTTTTCTTATGAAACGGGAAATATATCTTGTTATAAGTAAAATTATCTGCCAGTGGAACCGGTACTTTTTCATCAATATTAAGTAATTATTAACTTAAAACAAGATCTTAAGTCTTGCTGAAAAGTCGCTTATAATTTCATGTCTCATTTCAAGTGTACTAAGATATTTGCACTAGAAAGAACAAAAGTACTTGACAAGATTTTGTATTTTTTGCAGTTTATTAGAAGTATAATGATTAAGATGAACACAAAAATTGTGATGGTTTATGACATAATGCACTATTAATTGATATTACATTATCATTTCTAAAAAAACAAGCTAATGATTATTTTGTGATAATTTGTGTTAAATGTAATAATGTCATTATATATGCAGTAAATAGTATTTAAAAATGCTATTTGGATTTTATTGTGTTGATTACATAATGTGATTTAATGATGTTTTATTACATTATTATATTGTAGCATTACAAAGTTTTTGGAGGTTTAAGTGGTGTGATTTTTATACTTGACGCATCTTTTGGTGCAGTATTCTCTGAAAATTAGTCTTCATAGAGGAATTAAATAAATCAAGTTATCTGGAGGTACGTAAGGCTGGACACAGCACAGTTTGCTGTGTCTTCCCTCTTCCAGTTCAAACACATAAAGTCAATCCCTCTGTTTTGATCTTAATTTGGTTTCTATTACATTCCTCTATCCTACAGTTTCCTTTCATACAGTATATAACACCAGGGTGTTTGGCTTCCATGGTACAAGAAATACCTAAACAGTGTCAGAAGGTTGAGTTTTTACCTGTCACTTAGACGTTGAGCCCAGTAGAGCTATTTCTCATTCTTTGCTTTGAGACATTGACTGGTTGTCATCAGAGTCACTTCAGGAAACTGATATTCAGCGCTGACTTTTCATTGACCTTCCCTGTATTTTGTGGACTGATTATAGAGGCTGGTGCAGTGATGAAGTTGCAGCTGTTAAAAATTCACCAAGATTTGGACAGAAGGTCAATGTTAGCTCTGGGTTTCTGTGTTTGTTCTCCAACCACAGATTCACGCGTTATCTCCCAGCTGTCGGACAGCACAGTGCATTATATTGTGACTACCTGAGGAAGTCGATGAGGGCTGTGTTTGTTTGATGATCCATTTTATTCATGCATCCTGCGTTTCCTCCTCTCAAAGCACAGAATGTTAACGTTCGCCTTTGCAGACGTTCAGACAGGAAATCTATCGCTCTGCAAGTCCAGCACCTACTCTGTCAGTGTGAGACGGATGTAGGTGTGTAGAAGTTTCTGGTTCACCTTGCAGTTTGACCTTTTATGGGGGGTTTTCTCCGTCCATCTCACCTTTGCACTGTTCAGCTCATTTTCAGGCAGATATGTGCTCCTGTCTGTGTTCGTTTTCACACCGCCTCTGGTTTTCCGCCGTGTTTGCGGTGCATATTTAGCACCCTGTCCTGTCTACGTCAGATGTGGTCTAATCCTGTAGCTAAAGATAAGACCATGTCTTACCTTTAGCAAGACGTGGGCTCACCTCTGCTTCTTCTTGCAGATCACCGAGCCCGGAGGAAGAGCATAGCCACTGGGAAGCAACCCAGCATGGAGGTCCCTCCCACTGCCCCCCTTCAACCCTTCCGACAATCCGTGAGTAACCCTCCCTATCCTCGGCCTCGCTCGCTGCCTCCGTCCCTCTCGCTCTCCCTCCTCCCTCCTCCCGCTTTCGGCCCATCTCAAACATGTGGCAGACGGGTCAGCGGCACCCCGCCTCACCCCTTCCCTCTGTCCCTGGCCGTCTCCCCGTCCATCACCTTTTGCCCGCCAGTGCAGCCGCAGAAAAAGGGCTCCAAGAAAGGGTCGGCCACGCCCCCGTTGCCCCGCTCGCTGCCTCTCTCTCCCTCCCTATCCTTCACCCTGCCGCACTCGCCTGCCGCCTCCTCCTCCCCTCCCTTCTTGTACTGGGGAGGAGACTGGAGGGCTGCCGGTTCAAGTCCAGTGGCGGGAGGAACGTTTATTGAACCGCTGCCCCCTGTTGAGGTATGTGACACTGAGATACAGGCTGTTTTCATTGCTAAGGCAAAAAAAAGTTCTTTTAAAGGTATTATTACACATTGGGGAAAATGCATATTTCAAACATATTCCAACATATTTTGAGAGTAATTTACCAAACAAAAGAGTGCAGAGTTTTCTAATCGTGTCTTCACTTTTAACTGGAATTGCGTGCTTTTGTCCCACCAACATCAAAGTTTTAGCAACAGAAATAGCTCACTAGACGGGTTTTTACTATAGACAGCAGGGTTTCTACTGAATGAATGTGTTCAGATTGATCTGTACTCAGATTAAAACATAATCTGCTCTGTGACATTTATGTTTTGCTTTGCAGATAGCTTCAGACTGCTGGCTTGGACACTAATGTAATACTTAGCAAGCATTGTTTACTTCAGAAATCATAGAAAACAAACTTACTTTTTTTTTTTTTTGGCAAATTCAACCGCAACAAAAGAAAAGGAAAAGCATAATCACAATTTTTCTCCATTCAAAAATAAATGTATTTGTTTCAAAGTGTTTTAGCAATTCATGCTTTTCCTGTTGTCGAAATGAATTATTCAACCTAAAATTATGGCCTAAGTCATTTTTTGCCAAAAGTTCTGTTTTTTTGTATTTTTCTTGCCTAAATCATCTTTGGCAAGAAAAAAAAAAAAAAAAGAGGTGATGTTTTTTGTGTCGTTGTTGCCAAAATCACTTTTGGCAAAAAATGACTGAGGCCATTATTTTAGGAAGGAAACAAAATATAAATGTAGGCATTTACTTTGCTCATTGACTGAATTAAGCATGATTGGGCATAATTCTCTCTGCCAGACAGAAGCAAAGTGCTTCCAATGTGGTGCTTGGTATGTGTGGGATATGCATAATATGGAAATATGTTATCAAAAAATTGCTAGTTCTCATTTTTGTTGCTGCACAATAATTGATTTTCTCTCATTAGAGAGAATTTTAAGCTTTATGCTCAAACTATGTCACACAGGACTTTAGTTTTTATTTGATTTATCATTGTCAAATCTGGATGAAAATGTCTTCAACATATTTAGTCTAAGTCACAAAGTCTTTGCAGCTCAAATGACTGTGAAAAACATCCAACCATGTTTAGTTTTAAACAAGCAGGGCTTGGCACTATAAGTGTCAACAGATCATAAAAAACACATCTGAGCAAAGACAAAGAAGAAAACTGTTTCAAAGCGAGAAATATTAAGCATAAAGCTGTCGCTCATCCATTTCTGTTTCTCTGCTCCATATTAATAAACCAATAATAATTTCAGTTTTATTAAAAAATGTCTTTGTGATTGTTTTTTAAAACGTGATCAATAAAGTAAATTAACAATGTGATATTAGATAATAATGCACCATATTGGAATTTAATCAAATGCACAATTTAGTCCAATTTATCAGGGGTGTGTAATTAAAGTTTCATCTGAAACCGGTTTGGAGGGAATTGTTGAATGCCTGGAACTCTGTGGGAAACGTGTTGCAGTTCGCACATCAGCCGGGCTTTTAAATGCTGATTTGATGTAAATGCGAGTCGTAGTAAAAGTCAAAACACCTTTAAATGTCAGCGAAGAAGGGAAGTATTGAAACACAACTTCTTATTTAGCTTTAAATATAGATGGGAGCTGAGTGAAAGGTGGAGCAGGAGACGATGTCTGTGGACAGAAATAATGTGTTCTGTGTTTTATTCATAGCAGCAGGTATCACACATGAAGGTGCTTACAGGAGCGGTTTAAGTTTTTACGAGCCCTCCGTGTCGCTCACGTCCTCTCCCTGTTATCCAGCCTGCTGTTTCGCTCTCTGTTTGTATCTCAGAATAGGATAACTTGTTTATTTCCATTTAGAAGCGTCTATTTGCTGCTCATTCATTGTGGCAGAACTGAAAAGGTTTTCCATGCACTTGAAAATCGCTGAAGCTGGATAATCCATTAAATGAAATGCAGAGCCTCAATTTGGCTGCAGAGTTCGGAGTGTTTGTCATTATTTCACACTGGTTTAGATGAGTGTTTGTTATATAAATGTTTTAGGTTCTGTGAATTGGGTAATTTAGCCCTGAAGAGCAGCAGGAGGATGACGAACATGGCCCAGGAATCCTCCCTCTTTGGTTGTCACCTTGTTCTCAACTGCTGTGGTAAATACAAAGTGCAACCTTTTTCTGTTGGTTTAACTTGGAAATTGCCAGCTTTATTTGACCCAAATTTCACACTACTTATTTAACAAAGAAGAAGAAAAAATGGAGAAAAAATGTACTGCTTTGGTTCGTGCCAAAGCAGTACATGTCTAATTCACTTTTTTTCTTTTATTTTTTGCCACATTTCAAAATTTTTTAAAAATTTGCATGATAATTGGATGGAAACATGACCATTATGTAAAAGCTTATTCAGTGGAAAACTTTTAAAACAGCTAGGTCAGATTATGCACAGAAAAATTTAAAATGTTCATCTCAGACTTTAAAGGCCTCAATTAATGTTTGGACAATTTGAAAAGATTCAGAAAATCTGAACAACTATATGGCTGATGTGGAAGAGTTGAAGGGAAAATCGTATCACATCAAGATTTACTGTAGGTTTACAAAGTTCCATCTGAATAAATCACAATTTTCACTCTCTGCTTTTCCATTTCACACACGTGTTTGGGCGTAAACGGTTTTAAAACCTGCTAAAGACCTGATCATTGGTTTTGTGGTTATACATAAAACACCACTGAAGGAAGGTGCACTTTTTATTTCCCATGGCTGTAAATCTTATGGTGCTCACAGAATGAAATAAAATGCTAGAAGTAAAACCCCAAAGTGTGCTGCTGCACTCAGAGGAACCATTACTGCCTCCTCCCAACCCCTGAGTGGACGGATTTACTGTATATCTAACTAAAAATAGCCACAAGTTCCTGTATTATCAATTTAGCTGATTATGGCGGCCAATCATGTCGGTGGTGGTGTTGCCACCCAAGGGGTCTTTCTTTAGAAGAACTTTTGCTGGTAATGCAGCTATTGTCTCTTTTTTTCCACATGACATCCCTGCTCTGAAGATGAGGGGAAATGAGGACAAAACTGTAAAAATAGGTCAAACTAGAGAAGAGCAGCAGGATTAATGCATCTTAATAAAGTAAGGGTATAATATCCTAAAAGCCTCACAACTTAGAGGCAAATAAAATTACTAGAAATATTGTATGTTAGAGCTAACATAAATGTGACCTAATTAAAAGTAAAGAGACTTTTAGGATATTTTTAGTCCAGGAAATCTGTCAGAAACCCAACGCTGATAGAAATGACCACTGCAACTTTGATTCTGCTCTTGTTACTGCGATTTGTTTCGGTTTTCAGCCTCTTTCTCCTACCTTTTGACACTCAACCTGTCAGATGGAGGAGCAAATCAAATCGGAGTTAGTCATGCAGACTATTAGCTTGAAACCAGCAGATGGAGCCAAGCCTTTAGTCATATCCTTAAGACAGGCTTCGAAGCTGTTTGACTCACACCAGATGACAAGGTGTCATTTCCCCACAGTCATTCTCCTGCTGAATAATGTTGTTATGTGATAGGTATATAAATAATCCTTCTGTGCATTAAAAATAAGGAAGTGTTCTATGATAAATCAGCATAATATATGTTTGATGCACTTATTAAAGAATTAAGGCTAATTAACAATAGAAAATGTCCAGGTTTTGCCCAACATATTATTTTCTCTTTTCCAACAAATCGTTATAATCAGGGTCAATGCTCGTTTTCATTGCAAGGTTTCATTCCTGTTCAGAAAGATTTTTTTTAAAATACCAAGGTTGTTTGGCTTTACCAATTTGAAAAAGCACATTTTTGATTCCATTTTAGCATTTTTTGGCGAAGAGCTGTCAAGCAATCAGTTTTCACTCATTTTATCAGACGCAAGTTGCCCAAATTTTCCAGTTTTTTTGAGGCATATCTGATAAAATATTGACTTCATGTGAGTTGACTGATTTCCTGCCAAACTTAGTTCTGTACTCTTAGGTTATTTAAAAACTTGACGTTTCTTCTAGCATAGCCAGTGTTTTACTGATTTGATTTTGATTTGGGGAACTGGAACTTTATTTAAAATGACCAGACCTTTGAGACATTTGAATTTTCATTACTTTTTAGTTAGTAGTTTGGTATCAAAATTGTATTTAGCCAGTGATCTGACCCCCAAAACCAATTATGTAGCCTGTTGGGAAAAAGATAGTTAAGGAGAAAAGGTCTGTCTCCCATTTCCACTCCTTGTGCCTTAGAACAGAGAATATTTTGAGAACCCTTGTTGCACCTGAAGTGGATGAAAATATTCTTCTATTTTACTGAAGTAACATCAGTAAAGTCACTGAAGGGCCTCTAAGCATCAAAGAGCTCATAATAGTTGGAAAGTGTGACAGAATATAAATTACAAGGCATGATAGGAAATGTTTAGACGGTGCATTGAAACAGTTATAATTTTTCCATCTATTGTATCTGTGAAATATGAATGTGATGGTTCTGTTCCTAATCTTGATTGTGCAATAACATGGGACTTTTCTAAAGTTTAACTTTGTTTTTGTTAAACTTTGTATTAGAAGTTTGCATAACAATACACAGTGTCTTGTAAAAGTGCTAAATCTGAGTGTTTTTTACTTCCTGTCACATTACAACCACAACTTTAATTGTTTTTTTATTGGTATTTTATGAAGCGGAAGGATTTTTCTTTTTCTTTTTTACAAAAGAAAAATCTGTGCCTTGTATTTGTACTGTGCCTTTCTGAGTCATTACTTTGTTACTCCAATCACAGTTTCAAATGTTTTGGTGCTTAACTCCTTGAGATTTACACGTTTAGAGTCTGATTTTATTTTTTTTTTGCTCAAGCTCAGTCAGATTGGACAGAGAGCATTTGTGACTTTTCGAGTTTTGCCACGGTTCCAATTGAATGTAGGTCTACTTTTAAGAAAATGTGTTGTAGTTTGTTTTTCTTACATGTGATTTAACCTGTAAGAAAGCCCATGCAGGACAAACTGTCCCAACAAAAATCTTCATGGTCCACTGCTGCCCACTACAGGTTCTCTGATGGCACTGCAGGTCTTTTTTTTTTTTTTTTTACCAACTGGACATGTGCAGCAGTGATTTCTTTTATTAATAAACTTACTGTGTGCTTTCCCTCCTCATGTGTCCCATTTTTTCATTTGTCTGCATTTGATTGTGCATAACGTCTGACACAAACCACTTTGACCCTGCGCTCATCTAACATTTAAACCAAACTCCACCTGACCATTGTGTCCCGCTCCTCACCTCTCCATCACTCATCTGTTCCGACATGTTCGCGCCACCTCGCTCGTCATCCCTCTCCATCTGTTTGTCCCCGTCGCATCATCATCATCCTCCTCCGCCGCCACACTCCAGAGTTTCCTCAGTAAGAGGTTGAAGGGCTCCATCAAGAGGGCTAAGAGTCAGCCGAAACTGGACCGAACGAGCAGTTTCCGCCAAATGATCCTCCCCCGCTTCCGCAGTGCCGACCAAGACAGGTCAGTGAGAGAGACGGCGCGCCGGTGTGTGGATGTTCTGGATGTGTTTGACCACTGCTGAACACAGTCTTACCCTTGCCTTTTGTTTTTACCATGCCTCAGTCTTTTGAAGATGTTTATTCAATTAAAATGAAATAAAAAATTATAGAACTTGTCTACTAAAGTGGTTGGAGTGACTGAAGCTGAAATACTCCAAAACCAATCATGTCCAAACATTTTGTCATTTGGTCCAAAATTGTCCTGCCAAAAATATTTGGAGGTGAAAAGAGAAAAGAAATACAAAAAAATATTTAAATCAACAAAAATTATGTAGTGAATTTTTATGCCTGCTTCACAACAAATTATGAATGTAATATTTACTAAAACAACATAGTCCTTTTGTCTTTTTTAAAGGAAAAAGAGATGTACATTATTGTCAATTCAAAACTTTGAAAATGTTTGACATGTTTGCCTTATTTGAGACAAGCATCGCTGTCCAGTTTGTAACATCTGAGAAAGAAAATGATCAATTTTCAGCTGTAAGAACAGGATCGAGGTGAAACTGTCTTTGCTGCATTTAGCCAAGTTTGCGTTAAAAAAAAAGAACTGGTTTTGAGTAACTGTTGCTGGACTGATTGAAAGTAAAAAGGTTCATCTGCAAGGACTGTCTGTGCTTTCCACCATTGTTATTTGAAGTCAGGAACTGCACAAAATTAATAGAAGGGCAGCAAATGGCTCCCGGGCCACAGTTTGCACAACCTTGTCCTAAACCCTTGATGGATGCATTCACTGTAACATTTAAAGCTATTTTTCTTGATTCACATATATATGTATAAGAATCGGGTTTGGATGAGCCGATAATCACTAAAGTGTTGTGATTCTGGTATGAAAGAGCAGAAGAGTCTAGTTGCATCTTCTTCAATGAGAAAATAAATTCACTTTCCACTCTCACTTCAGTATCACTTTCAGCTGAAATCATCAGTGTTCCCAGTCAGCGCGATGAGGGAACTCTCACCATGGTAACCCGCAGTCAGCCATAATCCTGGCTGTGCAGAAGGAAATGAGTTAGTGGGAGATTTGCTTAATTACACCTCCTCTGGATCCTGGACAGACGTACAGTAGAGCAAAGATTCCTCAGCAGGAACATGAATTTCATTCTGCTGGACTAGATGCCTCCCAGTGACTACAGAGGAATAAGTTATTCCTTTATTTGAATTTAGATTTTATTTTTTTTTCTGCCTTAAACCACCCACATTCAGATGAGAAGCAGCCAGATTAAAAATCAATAAAAGCTCAAAGTCTGTAAATTGCTATATGATTCAATCAAACCATATGAGAACCAGATGAGAATTTTACATTTGGAGTCAAACTTGAGGCCAGAAGTGAACTGAAAGCTGCAGCTGTGAAGCAAGGATCTGCAAAGACACTTTTCAGATTGATTTATTCCCCCCAGAAGGCCACTGAGGGGACAAAACCACTAAATTCTTGGTAAAATGAGCATCTTGTCACAATGTTTATTTCAAAAATTTATTTTTACAACTTCTGAACTTCCTTCTTGATTATAATTCAATGTTTTATTCTGAATTACCACGGGAGGATTTGCGTTTTTTTGGTTTGGGTTACAGTCTCGCCCTGTAGGTCCAAAACATGTTGTCCTGTAGAACTCAGTTTTATTTCCAGAAGTCTGGTTTTTCTACGTCTGTTTCATATAGATACCAGTTTTTTGAGGTCCAACCAGCGATTCTCATGTATGTTTCCATGAGACATCTTGGTAATATTTTTTAAAGATTTTTTTTTAAAGTTTTTGTTTGTTTGTTTCTTGTTGTTTTTCTCATTTTGTTTTTTTTGAGGTCCAACCAGCGATTCTCAGACGGTTTAATATCTAGGAAGTTCAGAACTTTGACCCACTTTTGGTTCCGAAATTTTCTTCTCTTCTTTCAGCAGTGATATTTCCAGCAGCTACTTCTTTCATATTAGGCTAATTTAATCCAAAATGCCGACACCCTGTCTGTCTGTTTGTGTGAATCCAATTCACCGATTGTCCCAAATATATTTTAGCGAAAAATAATTTGACAACTTGCGGGATCCAAACACTGTGTATGAATTGATAAAATTTACTTTTCTCTGCACTTCACAGCAGTATTTGTTAAGGATACACCAATTTATCGTCCCAGCCGATTTTCAGGATTGAGTTCCATAAAATCCGTACTTCCTTACTTGCGAAGCCAATCTTATTCACGTCAGCAAATTTAGTTTTGCATTTGGCCAACACTTCAGATGCTCAAAAGTTACACGTCCTTAATTCATGAAACTAAACTTGCAGAATGTTTGAGTCGGTATTCGTTGTGTTAATCGTGTTGTGTTGTTTTCTTGCTTGCTGAGTTTTGCTCCACCTGATCTGACGTGTTGCAGGTATTTGAAGACATATTCCAGCTGTCTCTGTTTTGAAGTGTCTCTGCTGAGAGCTGGCTCAGTCCTCCGTTTTTCCTCCAGCCCTCCTGCTGTTTCTCCAATCCCTTCATGCTCCCCAGTCCGCACGCATCCTCCTCTTCACTCTTCTTCCTTTCAGACTCTCATATCTTCCTCTCTGTAGAATCCAGTGTTTACATAATGAACTTAATATCCACTGAGAGGTCGTCTTTACCCCCATCCCCCATTCTCTCTCACATTTTGTCATGACTTCCTCCAGTCTTTCTCTGCTCTCTGTCCTCCCTTCAATCTGACTCATTCTTTTAGGTCTATTTTTATCTCTCCCTTTCTCCATGAGCCTCTCTCTCTCCCCGGTTCCCTGTGCGATCAGTGCTCCGGTGATGAACGTTATGATTGGGTTTAGGCACAGGCAATCGTGGGAAAAGTGAGCGCAGAGCCGAGGATTTAGGTTTTCTTCATCTCCATCCTTGATTTTTTTTTTTCTTCTCCTGGGGGGCTTCCTTGCTCCTGACCAATGCTCCTCTCGCTCTGGTTACATTTATCGTGTCATCATTTATCTGTCGTGATGGATATATGACTCTCAGCTTCTTCTGTGTGTGCATGTGTGCACTATAGTGAAGGTGAGCACGATGAGCGGTTTGAGTGTTTGTTACTGTGAAATGTTTGCATAAATATGTCAGAGGACTGACTTTCTTTCCTAGAAATCATTTCAATATATATTCTATCTAGAGCATAAACAACTGTGGAAGAAAAATAGAAATATCCACAAGAGCGTTATGGCATCACATAAAGTAAAGGCATGAGATTGTATTTTCTGCAGGATATTCCTTTGAATTTAGCGAGTAAAGCTAATCACTGGAGCTCGTTTCTTTCTGCACAGTCTGCAGCTACCTGGTGGAGCTTGAAAAGCAGATTTTCACTTTATAAATCCCATTTTGGTGATAATCTATGCATTATCTTAAACCAGCAGTGCAAGCAAAGCAGTAAATGTACAAGTAGTGAAAGTTGTTCTCATACACTCATATGACACAATATTTATGGGAAAAGTCAATTTTCATAACTTCTGGAGCTAATAAAATAAAATGATCATCATTAGTGTGAGCACTGCAATAAAAGCAGAAGCTTTGCTGTTTTGCTGCTAAAACCTAGTAGTGTGTAGAGCCATTTTCAAACTATTTGAAGGTCTTGGTTCTACTAGAAGAATGATTATTCATATGTGTAAAACATTTTTTTTTTCTTAGGAATGTTCCAGTAACCAAAAGCTTCACCCAGACTCCACACGGCTCAGTTAGCATGTAAAACTGTAAAGTTAAAGTCAAAAGACTGAATAAATGTCTGTTTCCATCTTCTCTCTGAAAAGAATGTGGCAGAAGTTTGCAAACTTGCATCTGACAGAACTATTAAATTTCTGGAATTATGGCCTGGGTTCAAGTAGAGATGTTTTGACATAATGCACAGTACAATGTTTTAAAAAATCAAACAGATTTCAGCTCAAACGCATGATGCCAGCTGTCAGGCATGGTGGTAAAAATATCGATTTAGGGTAGGAGCATAGCCACAGAATCTCGTTGAGAAGATCATGAAATCTTCTGAATACCAAAATGTTCTAAATTTTAATATGAGACCGAACTGGACAGAAATCCCAAACAGGAAATGTACAATAAAAAGGCTGAAAAGACCCAATCTGCTTGAAATGTAGTGGAAGGAAATCAAACGATGTAAGCAGAAACACGTTTCTTTAGAAATGTGAGAAACTGATAAACTCAAAGCAACGACTAAGGTGCTTCTGATAAAGTTGATTATGAAAGCTGTTTTACAAGTTTTTAAATCATAACTGCAATCTTCAGATATTATTGTTTTTTAAACACAAAGCAGCCATGTTGCATTTCATTGCCAGGGTTGGAGAGAAACGTCACACTTTGCACATCAAAGTTTTGACTTCAGGAAACCTTTTAATGTGATTTCTTCCAAACTGGAGCTAAAACAAAAATTATCACATTAGAATAGAAATGGGATACAGCTGAAGAAGTTTTCTTTTTTAAAAAATGCATTTTAAAGTCTGATTAAGAATCTATTGAAGCCTATTTATTATTAAATAAGAATAAAAAAAACTCTGATAGTCTAGATACTGAATAAGAAATTCAAGTCAGTTAAGTTTATTAATATATTTTCATCTCAAGGCAAATAATTTATTGTATTAGGCTTATTTATAGGGTTTTTTATCTCAATCTCTTAAGGCAGTTTAAGATTATAATACATAAATTATTCAAACTGATTTAAATCAAACATGATTCTAGTTTCGTCTGCACTTATCCTATGCAATATTGCATTGATAGTCAATTAAAATTTAGTTTTTTATATATTTTATTATCAAAATGCAAAGAACTTCTGCAACTTTAATATTAATAAGCATCACTGAATTGAATTGAATATGAATGTAACATGAAAGTATGTTTGAATCTGAAGAGCTGCTCCATTTTCTCCCTCATTCACATCCCATCGAGTTTGAAACGCAGAAGAATGGAAATGTTGTATTTGGTTCAAAAGAAATATCTGCATGTGCTACCTCCAGTCCTAATGGATTATTTGGAAAATTATGAGCTGGTTTTCCATCTACCGACTGGTTCTGTGGTTGTTGATTCAATAGCAGTAAGATAAAAAGAATGAAATGCATTTTTAATGTTAGAATTAACATATAGATGCTGACATGAAGGGTTCCTGTTGCCGAACCATGATGAAATGACCTCCTCCCCTTCTTTCCGCTCCGCTCCCACATCTGACTGACTATCTGTCTCCCAGGACCCGTTTGATGCAGAGCTTCAAAGAGTCCCACTCCCATGAGTCCCTGCTGTCTCCCAGCAGCGCTGCCGAGGCGCTGGACCTCACACTGGATGAGGACGCCATCATCAAACCCGTCCACTCCAGCATCCTGGGACAGGAGTACTGTTTTGAGGTGAGAGCTGAGCTGCATGATGGTCGAGCAACGGCACACTCCCACTTTTAGTGCAGAGAAGCAGAACCTGACGAAAACAAAATAAAAGTCTGATGATCAAGGTTATAAAATTTGCATTGGTTTTGTAAAGTTTTCCATCACTTTTTATTCGTGGAAACTGATAAAAATTGAGGTTGAGACATTGTTTTGGCGCCTTAGTTGCTGTCTCCATAGTGACTGATGGCTGTGGTACCATTGGCTATAACCTCAGGTGACAACGGCGTCAGGAACCAAGTGCTTTGCGTGTCGCTCAGCCGCAGAGAGAGACAAATGGATCGAGAACCTGCAGAGAGCTGTCAAGCCCAACAAGGTGAGGGGAGAGAAAGGGATGCGGATGATCCCTGTGTCTGTGTCTCTCTCTCTCCTCCCCGTCTCCTGTTGTTTGTTTTCCAATAAGAGCGCACCGCTTCATTTCTCTGTGTGAACTCCATCCCCATGTCTGTGTGTGTCTGTGTCGAGCCATTTAGTGGCGTCTGCAAGCGAAGTGTTAAAGCCTCATGGGGGTAATGTTTCAGGGCGGAGGGTCCCGGTTGCTGTTTTTGAAAAACCACTAATCGGGTAATGTGATTTGGGTAAATTGTACGCAGCAGGTCGATGTGCACCAGCTCAGCATGTCTGTGAAAGCTGATGCTCACTGATACCCAGCAGCTGAGAGGAGAGGAGCGAAAACAAGCCAACATGACTGATTTCAGGAGTTTCTCACGGTGTGTGGGTCTCATGAATGAACCGCCGCAGCCGAAAGCTTTTCTGATTGGGATCTTCACCTTTGTGTGTGGCATTTAAGTGGTGTTTGCTTCTTGATTGCACAGCACTGCAAAAATATTAACCAGTTATTTTGATGTAGTTTCTAGTGCAGATATCTCAGCACACTTGAAACAAGACAAAACTAACTTACAAGTAACTTTTCAGCAAGATTTGGGGGCTTGTTTCTCTTTATTTTGCCTGATTTAGTTGTTTTATAATTATGTTATTTATTTTGGTCCTTAAACTAACAAAATTTCCACATAACTTTATATTGTAGTCCATCTGGCGATGTAATTTTAAAATCCTAAATAATAGACAGTTTCATTAGTTACGATACCTGAATAGCCTTTTATCAAATACATGTTTACTTTAGTCATTTCCTGGATTGCTACACTTTACTTTTACTAGGGTAAAAGCAAGTCGAAGTGGTGCTACTCTTTCTGGTTAAGATCCGCAAAGAGCTGGTAGGACGGCGTAGGTTGTTATGCCTGGAAACTTATGGATGTCTTTTATTTTAGGAATAGCTGCATAATTAAATGCAGAGGATGCAGTTAGCTTAGATCAAGCTGGTTGAGTGGAAATGTAAAGCTCACACTTGAATACAAAATTTGAGCAGCAGAGGTTGCAGTGACCAGCAGAAAGCAGCTGCACTGCCACATTTCCTGCTGACGTTCAGTGAGTTTTATATTGATATTTTATATTATTTAGCATCCATTTGGATTGTTGAAAGAAGATGGATAGAATGCATGCTAAATATTGAGAAGATGCAAATTCCTTGTGAAAAAAACCCACAACCTTTTTCGGAAAACGGAAATTACACCCGCTGTGTTTTTGTTTTTGACTGATTCTTCAGCAAAGCCAAGTGAACTTAATGCTGTGCTCTTGATGAAGTTGTGACTTTGGACATCCTGCTGCTGTGAGACATGTTAGATAAAACACAAAATTATTATTTAATAGAAGCTAATTACCACCCACAAGTAATTAGAGGAGGTGGTTGGCATGAAGACTGCACACACTCACATAAAATGATTAAACAGCCATTTGCAGAACTCTGACAATAGGATTTTTCTCTGCTAAAAATAGTGAAAAGCATTTTGTTGGAGTCCAATAGAAAGGAAAAATGCACTTCTCTCATAAATCAGGATTTTAATGATCTGAGGATGACAGGACGGAGAATGGAAGAGTGATTTCCTCTGCAGCATAGTTTATTTTCACTGTAATATTTTAAATTGAAGTGTATGTGTTTTAACCATTATCCAGCCACTAAGTGCACTATTAGCTGTTTTTTGCTTGTCTTTGTTCTTCTGAAAGATGTGATTTTTGTGCTTTGGCTCTGATCTTTGTTAAAATTGTGACTCAGATTAATCTCAGCTGAATTACAGAAACATTAGCAGACCTGTCGTGTCCCGATTGTTGCTCAGCTGACATGCTGCTGGTCGCTGGGATCTGATTCTTCAGGATGGATTTTTATTACCAGGTGTGGTCGCTCTGGATCAGCTGGGGCAGATTTCATACTGAACATAAAACCACCTGCTGCTCCAGAGTCAAACATCTAATCTTTTAACATTTTATGAAAGAAACTGATTCATCTGAATCAACTACTAATTGATTATTTCTTGAACTAAACACATCATCTATTCATGTGAATCTTTAGGCATCTGATTGCCAGCAGTCTGTCACAAAAGTCAAGTTGTTTCAATTTCTTGCATTGAATTTGTGAAGAACCTCAAAGATAACACAGTCTAAGAGAGAGAAAACAAGATTTTAGCTCCAGCAAGGTGACCTCCGGGGAAATCTCAGCTGAAAACTGACAGTAGGGTTATGCATCTCACGGGCAGGACTTGTTCAGTTGTTTGTCTGCATGTGATGAGGGAGAAAGCAGCCAAAGTCCAAAGAATACCTGGAAAGAATGTAGCAAAACTTGATCATGACCACTTTCAAGAGATTATTATTTATTTTTACATGGAATTAGAGTTGTTTAAAACTTTTTTACAATACTGTAGAATATAAGAAGTGTTTTCTGCTGAAGAAATAAATGAGTTTGATGCAAGCCGATATGGTGGATTAAACAATATTACCGAGTCTTTTTGTTTTCTGAGACTAAGGGACCCTGATATTTCCTGTCAGTTTGACCTTGTTACAGTTATTCAAATACTCTGATGTGACTTCACACTCTGAAGAACAATTGTGATTCTTACTTTATCCCCTTTAATCAGGAGGTGTTAGATCTAATCCTAAAACATCCAAAGTGTGCACCTCAGCATCTGCTAAACTGGATCAAACTGACATTAAATCAAAGCAAAATACTCAATCGTTGTTCTGAACACAAACTGCATATTTTTGTAGCACTGACGTGTAGTACTGAGATCATGTTTTCATCCTCACGTCTTTAATTGAACTAGTCTCAGCACCAAGTACTGGCAATAATTTCCCTGAGGATCTGATAGTTGTGTGAAATCGTCCTGTGCTTCCTCCTGTCGGTTGTTAAAAGTGAGCAGACACGTGAGGCATGCGGCTTTGATAGCATAGGGACTGGAGACAAATTAAAGCCGTCTGAGATGAAACATCATGCGAGCTGGATGTTCTCCGTCCAGATGCTCGGGCCGCAGGGGTCCTGGCTGAGTCACGGCACTCCGAGGATCCCTAACGGATGTTTTCGCAGATAAATCTCTCCCCTCCTACGCCTGAACATTGGAAGTCATGTATCTCAGACCAGAGCGAAGGATTGCCATCATTCTTTTCAACGTACCTGACTTTGATCCACTTTGGAAGTCGTTTTTTCTTTTAAGCAGTCAAATCTGAGGTATAAAAGAAAGACGGAAGCCATGTGATGATTTCAAGGCTGAGAACCCGCTCCCATACTGGTTCCGCTGCTCTGGCAAACTGAGACACCAGATGCCCAAAAACATTCAAAGTCACGGGTTTGGAAATAATGATGCCTCTCGTTTGACACCAGAGATAAAAGAGGACAAAAACCCGTTGGTTGTGAAGATCATGGCATGTGTCTGGTTCAAAATGAGATGCTGAATAGTATGAGGCTAACGACAGTGATTCAGCAACCAGCAGGCCCCTCTCTCCTGCAGCAGGAGTTGTCAAATATAAAGCACGCTTTGTGATCATGATAAGAACTCACCACAGAAGCATAATTACCATTGTTTGTGTCTTTGTTGCACAAATGAAATGCAGGATTTTTATTTTTCGTCATTTGTCTTTTGAGTGTCTGTCATGCAGTTTAATGCCTCTGTGTGATGAATTTAAAGCTGCTTTTCAACTTCAAGACAAATCAGTCATGTCTCTCCTCTGCAGGATGACCTGCTGATGCCCATTATTCACCCTCTCCGTCTCCTCTCCTCTGTCCTTGACGTGTTTTGTTGCACTTTTGTATCTTTCTCCTGGCATTGTATCGTCTCTCTGCAAAGATTTTTGAAAAGCCTGGCATTAAGTTCTGTAAACTGCGTTTGAACTGGTTTCATCTTTATGCAGGACAACAGTCGGAGGGTGGACAATGTGCTGAAACTGTGGATAATTGAAGCCCGCGAGCTCCCAGCTAAGAAGCGCTACTACTGCGAGCTGTGCCTGGACGACATGCTGTACGCCCGCACCACCAGCAAGCCCCGCACCGACACCGTCTTCTGGGGAGAGCACTTCGAGTTCAACAACCTGCCGGCCGTCCGCAACCTCCGCCTTCATCTGTACAAAGAGACGGACAAGAAGAGACGGAAGGTGACCGACCGATTCTAGCAGGGTGGAGGAGAGTTTAGTTTGCAAACTAAATATTTTTACTAATTTTCTCAACATTTTATAATGTGTCTTTAATAAAGTTAATAATAATAATCATTTAAATATGCATTATATATTTAGTTAGCAGGCTAAATAAGATAGATGTTTAACTTTACACTAAATATTTTTGCTCCAATCTAAATATTTAGTTTGCAAGCTCTAAATGAAGTTAGCAAACTAAATATTTAAAATTCAAAGCAAATGTTCAGTTAAACTAAAATGCTAACTAAATATTTAACTTCAATGCAAATAATTTGTTCCAAACTAAATATTTAGTCTGAAGCTAAACTTGCTCATCAAATCTTCAGGTTCTGGACTAAATATTTGATTTACTAGCTAAACATCTGTCTTGAAAATATTTCGAAACTAGATATTTATCTTCAAATATTTATCAGTCAGCAATTATGTCCATATCATGTCCATATGTCCACACATCCATATTTTGTGATTAAAGATATAGACAGAAAGCTTGACTAAATAATTGCCTTGATATTTAGTTTAAATCAGCAAAGTGATTTAACCAATTTGGTGCTAAATATTTAGCTTCAATTCAAATATTTATTTGGAAACTAAATATTGCGTGTTTACTTCCAATGTTTAATATTTAGTTTGAAGCTAAGTATTTAATTTAAATATTTATAGATTAATATAAATTGGGCTAAATAACACAAATTATCGCTGTTATTTATTTACTGTATAACTCCCATACTGCATTACAAACAGAACAACTATTATTACTATTATAACTATTATTATTATACACCAGACAGCAAAATGCAAAAGTAAAAATTCCAGTCAGTTTTTGGGGTTTGCAAACATCCTGAGTTAGATTTTATAGTTATGACCATAAGTTACAATCACAATGTTTTTCCAATTTGGGGTTTATTTTTTCCCTTCATCTGTACGGACACAGTTTACATGCTTATGATTATTTTTTCTATGTATCCTGAAGGAAAAGAGCACATACCTAGGATTGGTCAGCATCCCCATCTCGAGCATCACCGGGCGGCAGTTTGTGGAGCAATGGTACCCAGTCATCCAGCCCAGCGTTCTCACAAAGGGAGCCGGCGTCGGAGGAGGGAAAATTATCAATGCGTCGCTTCGCCTCAAGTCCCGCTTCCAAACCATGAACATCCTGCCCATGGAGCTGTATAAAGAGTTCGCCGAGTACGTCACCAACAACTACCGGACCCTGTGCGCCGTGCTGGAGCCCGTGCTGAGCGTGAAGAGTAAGGAGGAAGTGGCCTGTGCTTTGGTGCATATCCTGCAAAGCACAGGGAAGGCGAAGGTAAGGGCCACCGCTGTTTGCAGAAAGCTCTGAATCAGATTGAGGAGCAACGGTTGACTGCAGTCCTGTGTCTGCAGGACTTCCTGTCTGACATGGCCATGTGTGAGGTAGACAGATTTATCGACCGAGAACACCTTATATTCAGAGAGAACACTCTGGCCACCAAAGCCATAGAAGAGTACCTCAAACTGATCGGACATAAGTACCTCAAGGATGCTATCGGTGAGTCGACCCAGCCGTATCTTTCATTTTCCAAATCATACCTGAAAAATAATCTTTCAAAAGCCACCAGAAATATCTGTCAGTGTTACTGAGGGAAAATTCACCATTTTTAGTCTGAATAGAGTAGTATAAAATATTTTTAATTTCTTTCTTTCAAATCATGTCCAGAATTCTACAAATTTTCTTCATATTTTGGAGATTGCAAACAAAACTTACTTTTTACCTATCTAAGATTTAAAAAATATATATTTTTGTTGTTTGTCTTCATGAACAATAACTTTATGTTAAGAGGAAACATTCAGTAATAAGAAACGCAAAAAAAATAAAATCAGCAAAAGTAAAAAATATTTCTAAATATATAAAACCCAAAATTTCAAAATAAAGTAAAAAATGTGAGGAAGATTTTTGAGAAGTTTCTCTTTTCCTTTTTAGTTCTGATATCCAGAAACCTTCACTATTTGTCTGACACATTTGTATGAAGGGAGAAAAATTTAGGCTATGCTCTCAAAGCAGGTCTTCCAAATTTTTTGTTTAAATCTGAATTTTTTTTTATTTTTATATATCTTATATATATATTTTATATATATAGTTTTTTTAATCTATTTTTATTTTTTTTTGCATGGTCTTTGGTATCACTAATTAGACTTTTGGGTCATCCAGAGTGCCGTAAAAAAAAAAGAAAAAAAAAAGCAGATTCGGGTCACGTTTGCTTGCTGTGTGAACACAGCCTAAGAAGAAGAAGAGCGAATAAATCTTAAAGAATTGAGGCGGAAAATCCAAGTCTTATTGTTGTTGTTGATGCCAGATCAACTTTGACAACAGCAAAGTTCATGCCTTCTGCTCTCTGAACAACCAACAGAATAATTCTTTCTGAATTATTCTGTGATCATTTTCTAATTTTTTAAGTTAAGCTGTTTAGAGAAAGCTCTGGCAGCGCGAGCACAATTCTCCTGCTAAACCCTAAATCTGTTCATCTCTCCCAAACATCAAGAGCATAAACTGATTTGATGAGTAAATCTGATTCATGGGAGGGCATAATTTCTGCCTCAGTTGAATCATGTGATACATAATAAGTAGATTTTCCCCAAGCGTGGTTTATGCAAAGAACTGTGACCTCGGCATTTAACCCATAGATAAACTGGAAAACCACACACGCTCAACCCAACGGGTGATAAATCAGGAGCAACTGAAGCGCTCGAGGAAACATTGAGTTGCCCATTGAGTAAAACACCTAATTTACAGCTACATGTTTAATATACAGCTTTATACACATGTTAGCCAAACCCATATGTAAGATCTAAATCAGGTTGACTTTGTCCCTAATGGTGAGCTGTCTCTGGTTAGTGTCAATCATAACCTTGACACTGACATTTTTACAGTTCTTAGCTGGGATGTGGTGCTTTTATTTTCAGCATTAAGGAGTATTTACTATTCAGCATTAAAGTTAACATGATTGATCAATACAGAAAAGAAAAACAAGCATTTTACTTTTCCAAAGGGTTGGGTTGCAGAAATGTTTGATTTCTGATTTATTTTCTGTAACACTTGAGCCTTGGTTGATGCTGTTATTTAAAATAATAACTCTGGACTTGTTACAAATTAAATGTCATCTGCAGGGGAGTTCATAAGGGCCTTGTATGAGTCAGAGGAAAATTGCGAAGTGGACCCTATGAGAATACCACCCTCTGTGCTACCAGACCACCAAGCCAATCTTCGAATGTGCTGCGAACTGGCTCTCTGCAAAATTGTTAATTCCCATTGGTAAGCCTCTAATTACTGCAGAAATAAACAAAGTTATTTATAAAGGTTGATGGGCTGGCAGATTTATTTTCTCCTCACGAGCCGAGGAAGCAGCCATGATGTTGCTGTTTGATTCTGAGATGCATGTTGTGTCCTCACAGTGTTTTCCCTCGTGAGCTGAAGGAGGTTTTTGCGTCCTGGAGAGTGCGTTGTGCCGAGAGGGGTCGGGAAGACATCGCTGACCGCCTCATCAGTGGATCGCTCTTCCTGCGCTTCCTGTGTCCCGCCATCATGTCCCCGTCACTTTTCAATCTCACCCAGGAGTATCCCGACGAGCAGACGTCACGCACGCTCACTCTTATCGCTAAAGTAGTGCAAAACCTCGCAAACTTCTCCAAGTCAGTACTACTTCAGTTTCTAAAGAAAATGTGAACTTGTAACTTCCTAAATCTTGTCATAGATATCATCTGATATGCAGTAGATACACGCCTATACACTTATTATTATGGATAATTAGGAAATTATGTTTTTCTAGCTGATATTTGGCCTTGGAAAACACAACCCTGACTAGGCTTGTCACAATAGCAAATTTTGCTACAGTAAATTGTCCCAGTAATTATTGCGATAAACATTAATATTGTCATTTTTAGAACATTTCCACGTAATAAATTGTTAATGAAATATTAATCTAAGTTCACCCTCTCAAATATCAATAAACTTTTGCAAAAAAACCCCAAAACTATTAAATGAAATGGAAATAAAAAACAGACACAAGCAAAGCCATAAAAAATGGATTATGAAGTCTTTGTAAACAAAATTACCCTTCAAATAATACTAATCATCAGAATGGAAATTTTTAAGCTCATCTTAATTTATCATGTGATTAACTGTTTACTGGGACAGGTGAGTCCTGACTGACTCACCTTTAACTGAACAAACTAAATTTATTTTTTATAATTATTCTTTGCTGTGGTCTCCAAACTTTTAATTAAGGGAAATTATTTCAGCTAATATTGAGTGTAAATCCATACTTGAATTCTCACATTTGAATTCTTCTTCAATACATAAGAATTCAGAAGACTACATTCAAGAAATTATGGCACAAAAAAAGAACCTAAAATCCAGTTTTACATCATTCATTCTTTAAATCTTGTTTGATTTCACTCGTCCTTCTTCTCTGGTTTCTGTTTCTGCTCCTCCTGAAGGTTTGGCAATAAGGAGGAGTACATGTGTTTCATGAATGAGTTTTTAGAGATGGAGTGGGGCTCCATGCAGCAGTTCCTGTACGAGATCTCCAACCTGGACAGCGTCAGCAACGCAGGCGGCTTTGAGGGATACATCGATCTGGGCAGGGAGCTGTCGATCCTGCACAGCCTCTTGTGGGAGGTCATGGCTCAGCTCAGCAAGGTGAAACCAGATCAGTTCGACCAATGTGAACCGAAGTTAAACGCTTAATATCTCAATCATCAAGCTCTTACATTTTCAGAGCGGGATTGTATTCCTTTGTAGTGTTTTCGCTCAAAGCGTCGGCTGTCTTTCAAAAACAATCTGGAGTTTCATTATTATCTATTTGGGCAGCTAAAAAATCTTACTGAAATATGCACTGATGCAAAATTAAATACCTCAAATCTAACAGATGTGACTGAAACTGAAACACCAATTTATTCAAATATTGATTTTATGGATACCAATATTTACTTGCTAAACTTCCCAGTTTTGGCTTGTGGTAACAACACAACCATCATTTCCGTCCCACATCATTAACTTGAGGTGGTTTCTTTATATTTTCTCATCACTACAGCATATAAAAGTACAAAGAAAATGTTTGTTTCTTGAAATGAGTTAGTTGTTTATATATATATATATAAATTAATAAGCCACAGCTTTTTAGAAAATCTTCTTCGACTTTCTGAAGTTTTATTTCACTTCTGACCACAGGATGCCATCATCAAGCTGGGCCCTTTGCCCCGCCTCTTGAATGACATCAGCATGGCGTTACGTAACCCTCACCTCCAGAGGCAGCCGAGCCACCAGACGGACCGGGTGCAGGACAGACAGTCGGACAGGCTGCTGTCTCGACCAAGCTTTAACCGAGGAATCTCATCAGAGTTCCAGAATCTCATGATGAGAGATTTAAACAGGTACGAACATTAATGCAAGACCGCCCATCATTATTTGTGAAGACTCGAGGAAGACATTTTATTTATATAGCACTTTTTCAGCAACAAGGCAGTTTAAAGTGTTTTACATAAATTAGAAGGAAATGCAAAAACAGCAATACAAGCAAAATATAAGAAAAAACAAGCACTGCAAAAGAAAAACTACGCTTTACAACGTTCTAGTTTTTCCAGTCACTTTCAGGAGGATAAGTAACTTCAACGATCTTCAAACAGTATATAATGTTTATGATTTGATGTAACTTTATGTTGCTTATTTCTACAGGTTCTATGCTTTTATGGAAAGATTTTGCAGTAAATGGGACCTTGGCTGCTTTTTTGTTTTGGTTTTATTTTCCTTTTTTTATCAGATAAAGGTTCAGGACAGATCAGAACCAGGACGTGGCCATTTTCTCCATCCGTCTAAAGTTCATTTGGTGACAGTAAACTGATTCCATATTTTTTTCCTGTACACTATTAAATATAAATTTGGCCTCTTGTTGTCCAGCTCCATAGATATCACTCGTTTGCCTTCCCCTACTTCCACCGGAGGGGTCATGCCATCCCGCGCCCAGCTGAGCTTTCAGGACCGCGATCACCCTCATCGAGCCTCCAAAGACATGTTCTACGTGTCTCGGCCGCCTCTGGCCCGCTCCAGCCCGGCGTACTGCACAAGCAGCTCGGATATCACAGAACCAGACGCTAAGGTGAGTCCAGTCATGCTGAACCAGGGGAATCATCATCCCATCCGCTAGTTTCTCTGTCTGGTTAGTGAGGTTAGTATGACATGCATGTTAGTCATACTTGACAGAGTCTGCCATCGTGTTACTGAGGCTCTAGTTTTTCATGACATTTGCTTTTTTCCCACCGATTCACCATGCAACTCATCCTAGCGGTATTTCCTGGGAAATACTTTCAGGCATTCCGATTCCCTGACAGACCTCGTGGTAAAAACACCCGCACCACCCTCACCCATATCATCCGTGCCCACCTAACATTTATTATCAGGGGGCGCATTAGCCTCTCATATCCCTTACTATTTAGGGTGTCAGTGTAAATAAAAGCGTATCTATGATGGACCTCCAGGATTCCCGAATGAACAGCGTGTCTAACCTGCAGTCGGTGGACATGCTCAACTCCTCCCAGGCCTCCATCGCCGGTATGGGCAGCTTCGGTGGGCTGAGCAGCGGAGGCGGTGGCGGCCTGGGGTCGGGCCTGAGCAGCCAGCTGCGGGCCGGTGGGAGGTTGTCAGCTGGCTCCGGCGGCTCCAGCATGTCAGGCGGCCTCCGGCTGAGCCAGCTGAGCCAGATGGGCACCACCACCGACTCGCTATCCCAACAGCAGCAACACCAGGCCGCCGCCATGCGCTACCCGCTTTCCTTCCAGAATCCTCTCTTTCATCTGGCGACGGCTGACGGGCCACAGCAACAGCTCCATCACCAGCACAGCCGAGCTCAGCCCCCAGCGCCCCTGCTCCTGGCCCCCGACCCCGAGCCCTCTCACCAGGCCTACATCCCACAGTTCGCCCATGGGGGGTTCTCTCGCAGTGAGGATCTGTCCACGCTCAGGACCCGGGATGGTCACCTGGGCCAGCCCAGCATAATCCACTCGCACAGCTACAGTGACGACTACAGCAGGGCTGAATACGGACGCAGGCAAATCTCCATGCATATGCAGGTAAACGTTTTTAGACGTGTGGTGACGTAGTCTAATAGTGCTATGAAGGCTGCTGCTAACAATTATTTTAGTAATTCTGTTAAATATCTTGGCAATTGATTAATCTGATAAAAAAATTATCACATTGTGTAGATTACTCACTTAACTACTTAAGCTTATTTTATATAATCTTAGAAATTATACATTAGAGGGGCAGTATTATAAGAAATTAACTTTTTTGATCTTTACATCGTGTTGTAATGTTATTCCCTCATCAACAACGTACCTGGAGAGTTGCCTTGACTTTTTTATGCTTGTTTGAGAAATCATTTAATCTCAATGGCAACCCTTCAGCTGAGCAAAGCGCCTGATGGACCTCGCTCCACCTCCTCAGAGCGGCACTTCCTGATCTTCTTCCCGACAGAGCAGCCATGGGTTGTTCTTTCAGTAAATGGGCTTTTTGTGAAATATCAATCTTTTTTACAAGGCATCAGAAAAGTCAAGCTATAATGTCAATTTTAAAATCGCACTAAACTATAATTATGACTGAAGTGCTCAGTTAAATTTGAGTCCTTCAATGCAAAATCACAAATTCTTGTCAAGTAATTTTGTTCTCGTTTCTACTGCAAGTATCTTAGTATATTTGAAATAAGACTAAACTAACTTACATGTAACTTTTCAACAAAATTCAAGCCATCAGCAAACTCCCTGGACTCTGAGCTCCTTTTTTCACTTATTATGAAAGAAATAATCTGCCAATGCAACAAGTACTTTTTCATCAATATTAAGATTTTATTTACTTGAAACAAGTTGATATTTCTTGCTGAAAAGTTGCATGCAAGTTAGTTTTGCCTTTTTTCAAGTCTACTATGATTCTTGAACTAGAAACTATAAGAAAAATACTGGGTAACAATTTGTGTTTTTTCAGTGTAAAAAACAAGTAGGCTATAAAAATCTAAAAATAATTTTCGGGCCACTTGTTTTCTTTCCAAGGATAACCTCCATCAGCAACATGAAATGATGGGAATGGCCTCCCAGACTGGAACGTCCCACTCCTCCCTGGCCACCACTCCTCCCTCCACCGTTCAACCGATGCGGCAGAGCTCTGTTGCTCCGCCTCCCACCCAGCGTGTCAAGTCCCAGACTTCCCACCAGCTATCCGTCAGTGCGGCGGCCGCGCCCGTCGCCTCCAGTAAAAGCCGTCCGCAGAGCGGGAACCTCCTCCAGTCTCCAGAGTCTGGCTACGGCGGCAGGCAGCACGGGCCCCGGCAGCTGTCGGTCAAAGACAACACTGCCCCGGGTCTTCCCCACCAGCAGAGCTCTGTCAGGGAAAGTGGGAGTCCACAAGGGACCACCAGTCAGAGCACTCAGCAGTCACCACAGCAGTCTCAACAGCACCTTTTAAAACCCACCATGAGCAAACAGGTAACACCTGCACACTCTCTATGTCTCGTCTTCTCCGGGTCATCACGTCTTCTCACAGCTTTCTCTGGAGGACGACTGAGCCTGGTCTTTATATAATAACTATAGACACTTTGAATCATTTCCTACTGGCTCTGAAAATAATTTACAACCAATTTTATAGCACTTTTCCAGTCATTTTGACCACTCATAGCACTTTACAGTAGAGTCACATTCACCCATTCGCACTCACAAACACACACACATTTACACACCGATACACAGACCGGTAGGCAATTTGAGGTTGAGTGCCTTGCTTCAGCCTAATAATTCCTTAATATTGATGAAAAATCACTAGCTTCCCTGGTCAATTATTTCACTGATAGCAAAACATTGTTCACATGTTACATGTGAAACAGTCTGCCAGCAGAACTCATACCATTTATTAATATTAAGAAATTATGGACGTAATACAAGTTCCTATCTTGCTGAAAAGTTAGTTGCAAGTTTTGCCTTATTTTACACTAGAACCTAGATAAAAATACTTGTTTTTTTTTTGCAGTGATACATGTGAGTAGCCTTTCTGTGCCTTCTAGTCAGGCTTTCTTCTGTCTTCCCAGGGCTCCCAGTCACCTACCACCCTCAATCCCCCGACCCCAGCGAACGAGCGAACGGTGGCCTGGGTCTCCAACATGCCTCACCTGTCGGCCGACATCGAGAGTTCACGGATTGACCGAGAGGATTTCAAGCTCAAGGAGTATTCAAAAAGCATGGATGAGTCGCGCATGGACAGGGTAGGCGTCATTTTAACACCAGCGGTTCTTTTCCTGAGTCAAATTCAGGAAAAGAATCTGGTTCTTTGGAACACAATATCAACACAATTGAGCCTAAGTTGTACATATTGTTGACTAATTTAATTCAGAATAAAGAACAACATGTGGCCATACATCCTCATATTTTACTTAAGAAGGATTTTTTCATAGAAGTTGAATGGATATAATAAATTTTATGTTTTAATGACCCAAATAACACATTAGAAATCATAAATATCTTTGTTGCAGAGCTTATATGTTTAATTTAGCAGAGAAAAGTGCTCATGATTTGAAAACATATCTTATTTTGTTGATATACAGTTTCAATTAAATGCGATGAATTAATTATATGCCCTGCAATGAACTCAATTTAAGTTATTAATCAAATCCCACCACTATATTTTTACATTTCTTAAACTGTATTTCTACAAAGTCTTGTCTCTTGTCACTTTATTTTATATATGTTGCTTCCAGAAAGCACAATTTTTGGTTTAGAGTTTTTATTTCAGCTTTTATTACTTTTTCACTCTGGTTCAGTTTAAACTGACGACATGCAAGAAACAAACTGCAAAGAAATGTAAAACTACACAATGTGTTTGCATTTACTTGCACATTTGAGCCCTGTTAACCTCCATACATGTCAAACCAAGCTGTTTCCTGTTGCTGCCTCAGGTCAAAGAGTACGAGGAGGAAATCAGCTCTTTGAAGGAGCGTCTACTGATGTCTCACAGAAAGCTGGAGGAGTACGAGAGGAGGCTCCTAACGCAGGAGCAGCAGACCAATAGGATCCTCCTGCAGTACCAGAACCGTCTGGAGGACAGCGAGAGGAGGCTACGACAACAGCAAGTGGAGAAAGACTCCCAAATTAAAGGAATAATTAACAGGTAACTGGAGGCTGTTTTTGGGATGGAGGGCAAAAGACGGCTCCGTTGTCTTTCATAGGCAGAACAAACATAATTTTTCCCCTGACATATGGTAAAAGTGGCAAATTCTCTAAATGCCAGGTTGCTAAACATAGTTTCAATTATTCTAATCTGAGAAGTGTGTAAACGTAGAGGGCTTCCACCATTCAACATAACTGCCAAGTTAAATCATAAACCTGTTGATTATACTAACAGAAAATTTTCTAATTTATTTCCTAAAGAACAAATGACTTTCTTTTTTACCAGATATCTTGCTCTGTGTAGTGCAGTGTGGGAAACCTTTCAGATTTATTCAATCTTGTTCGGCAGGGAACGTTACATCGACAAGGACGGCAGACAGTTTGCAGAGAGATACAACTGAAGTGAGACACTTTCATATGGAGAGCAGAAATCTCTGTCTTGTTAAATCAGTACAAAGGTTATGTTGCCCTGATTATTGTTTCTTTTCAAAGCAGAAAAAGTTAGTCTTTGATTTACCACTTAGGAATTGCTCCGGTAAATCTGTTGTCAGATCCTCATGATGCAGTTTGTTCTTTGTTACAGCATCGTATTTAGCAAACTGCAGAGATCTGGAGCGGAGTCTTAATTTATTGGGTGATTTTGTGAAATATCAATGAGGCCAGTCCGCAAGAGCAGTTCTTAGTTGTTATTGATCTCCACCAAATTAAGTGCTTCATGAGTAAGAAGTGGAATATCGATCGCTTCTCAGTTGTGTTCAGGCATGAAACCAAAACAGTTCCTGCGTTTTAGGATTTAATGTGAGGCTGCTTTAGCAGTGATTTATTGTGGGAAAAGTTTAGCCAAAAAGAAAACTCTGCCATATTTTCACATCTTGTGAAAGTCATCTTGTGGTCTGCAACTGAAGGGTAGATATCTGTGACAGAGAATATTGCCACTTCTAATCCACTCCAGGAAAGAAGACTCGGAATGACGACAGGGAGTCCCGCTGGCCTGTTAAGGAAAACGCATCTGTAACGCTCTAACTGAGCTTATAAAAGAACCTTAAACCATCCTCCCTCATCCCGTGCTGTTGTGCCCACCAGCAGCCATTTTTTTATGCTCCTTTACTGGATTTTGGAATCATATTGGATGATTCCACCTAGTTTTCCAATATTCCAGAGGATTTCCCAGTGAAAGCACAAAAGGAATGACTATTAACTCAGAAAGGGGGGAAAACTGCACTTTTTAAATGATTGTTACGGACTTTACTGCACAGGACTCTGGAAGACGAGTGGTTGGATATTAGCTCTTCCATTCCTAACGAAGGTGAACGCTGTTCACTGAAGGACTGCTGATGTTTCTCTGCAGATGAAACGTGGGGACTAATACCTCTCTCCTTTTTTTGTATACATAGTATGAGGAGAACATCACAGACAAAACTTGAATCAATATGATGTGAAGATTCTGGCAGAAAGGCATAGAGGAACAATGAGAACATTAGAGAATAATCACCTTGATCATCTCCCTCTGGGGTAAAAGCTTCAAATGAATACAGACTTTATCAAGGCCTACTTATGCTTTGACCTATCTTGACCGTGGGATGAATTAAGTGACCGGATGCTTCCAAGTCAGTTTCTACTCACAGATCACTGAGCCAGACCGTGCATTGCAGAACTTGTGCATCATCTGGACACATTAGGAATTTGAGTGCACATAAGAGCAATGCAGACAGAGTGGATGGATGCCAAGAAGCAGCGTCTCAGGCCATCCTGTTGGGTTTACTGGACTCCAGAATCTAAGTGAATTAACAAGTGCAAGCATAGCCTTATGTCCTGTTTCCTCCTCAGTTGACTTTTACGTTCAGCTGACACCTTATGGCAGATTATTTATAGTAGAAATGCAAGTTCAGGACCAATATGATTCCTGGGTTGGCTTGCAAAAATCTTGTCTTTCCCTGCAGGACTAAAAACAGTCTGCATTGTTTTTTTCTTTCAGAGAAGCCTTAATGCTCTGTGCGTGAACTTCACTTTAAGCTCAGAGTAAATGTCAATAGACCAGGCCTGGTCTCAGCAGTCTCATTTAAACCAAAGCCAAATGCTAAAGAAATAGTTTGGATTTTTGTTTGATAAAGGTTCTATGAAGAGGTTATGAGTTATTGGTATCTTCTATCATACAGCAGCAGCAAGGATGAGGAGGAGAAGAAGTTGAAACCATAAAGTAACAGCCAGAGCAGGGAGGAAAACAAACTGCTGCAAGTGAACACCAGATAATGAAGCATTCATGAAAACAGGACAAATTTCCACCACTTGCTTTCCACATCTGCTATAGTTCATTACAAAACGTCTGATAGGTGGGTCTTCAAGCAAAGTGTCATAATTACCAGCTACTCTTGCATTGTTTTGGTGTGGAATGCTTTACATCGTTTTTTCATCTACTCAGTTTCTGAGTCAAAAACGAGGAAATTGCAGATTCTTTATGTGATTTAATGTGCCAAACGTTGAGATCTCTGAGATGATGACTTAGGATGAACACAAATTGAAAAAGCAATATATCATTTTTTTACAGTTATGTTTTTGATAGTTTCCGTTTGGCACTGTTTATCTTCCCATCAAACATAGGTAAGGATCTATTTTGATCCAAGATGAGTTTATTTAAGGAGATTCCTGCTAAAGGTAAGATATGACCTAACCTCTTTACAAAACCCTGCATCCAAAAGGCATAAAAAAAATCCAAACTGTTCCTTTAAATTTAAAGGTATGCTAGTTTAAATCTACTGAATCCACTTCACCTGTAGCATATGTATTTATAAATATGTATTTTTTTGTTTTTAGGTTTAATATCTCTTTAGTTGGCAACAAGTTTTAGTCACTGTATTAAAAGTATAAATATACATTAAATTATTTATCTTTCTCAAGCTGTTTGCTTTCAGTTGAAGAGATGGACCAATGCAACAGAAGAGAATCAAATCTATGGTCTGTATTGCACCAAGTAATAATCTATTTTTTAAGATAATCCATATCATATTAAACACAGTGATGCAAGAGCCATAGCATTAATGGTATATATAGATATATACAGAGTAAAAGTATATGACAGTGAGATATTTTAACCTTGCAATAGCTAAGTTTTTAGCCGGACAAGCGCAATAACTGATACAATATGTCCAGATGTGCTGTTTGTGCAAATGCGCATGCAGGACTCTGATATATTGTACGCATTTTTTGTACATAAAGAAACAGTGACTACCTGCCAAACTCTTCTACCAGGTGCCATCTGTGGTGTCTGAATAAAGACCTGGAGTACTGTAAGGTGCAAAATGCCACAGAGGCAACATGACAACCATGACGCAACTTTATGACAAAATGCTAGTTCTGCAATGTGTCAACTTTAAATTTGTTTTTATTATTTTTGTTTGTTTATTCTGTACAGTATTAATGACTTTTTCTGCTTCTTAATTGAAAGCCTGGAAGGAATATTATTTATTATTGAAAGCAAACACGATTTTCTTTTTCTCTGTATGATTTTGCTGTAAATGCTCGGTGTGACTTTTTGACCTGCAGTTTGTCATTGGTGGTGTCCAGTGACATGGTGATCAGAATAGATGTTTGAGAAAGTTAGTCAGTACTGTCATTGAACTTATGCAGTCTTATTATTATTATTATTATTATTATTATTATTATTATTATTATTATTATTATTGTTTTAGAAACCACATTGCACTCATTGATAAGAACAATTATGCAGCTGGAAGGAATGGCCCAATTTGGACATAAATTGTCACCTATTCAGTAGGAGTGCACCAATTGCAGTTTTCTGGACAATCAGTGACCTTTTGAAAGTTTCTGATCTTGGCCGATATTGATTTTTCTTTGTCTGAAAAGTCACTGAATACAGCAATAAAGTCATTAGGTTGGTAATGGGGCGGTGATGTTGTGAACCACAGCAAAAGCGGGCAGTGGTAGATTTACTGACCTTTGCAAAAGTAGATAAAATTGCTCTCTCATGTCAGTATCGGCAAATCGCAGATCATCGAAAGTCAAGGAAATTTATCGGTGCACCACTACTATTCAGTTGCCAAGGAGCTGGCATGTCTTCGAAGGAAACTAGAGAGCGCAAGTTTTGTTTTCAGCTTTACCTTATTGGAGTAGCATCTTCCACCTGAATGAAAGGTGAACATTCATCCGTGTTCTTATCCATTTATGGCTGTGTAATATTAGTAGAATATGAGCCGGCTCCTTGCGAACTGATTCATTAACATACCCATTGCTGGTCTGCATGTGGTCCATACTCAGAAGTCCAAATCAACCATTCCTTATAGATGTTCATATCAGTGAGCGTTTTTTTTTTCTTTTTGTTTCAGAGTAATAGGTAACTTTCTGGTGTCCATATATCTGCCTCTCTTTTGTAGCAAGAATATATTGATAGGCTGTATAGAGTGTACTACAGCATATCTGATGTTTTAATCTTGCACATGAATTCACAGTGGTAATGTGTGTGTGTGTGCGTGCGTGTGTGCGTGCGTGTGTGCGTGCGTGACTGACATGGCTCATAGCAACAGCCAAGGGTTTGTTTCTCAGTCTTTTTTCAAATTTGCAACAGATCTGTATGAAGTAGCTGCAAATATTTCTTGTTCTAGAGTGAACACCAGTTTGTTGGATGAAAGGCAGATTTTCAATTAAAGAGTTGAAGCTTTCGTTGCACATGTTGGTGAAGGAAATGAAAAACCAGTGTATCTGCAGTTGCTTTTTGAACCAGGTCTGTCGTTTCATTGACTTCACATCTTCTACATTTTGTCTCCTGACTTTTTTCTCTGTAGCACAATATTCCTCATGTTTGGTAGATGCATTGTGTTTATTTTTCACTAAATGTACGACTCGACCTCAAAAGCACACTACTTGAACTGGATTTTTTTTGTGACATATCACCCACACGAATCATTGTCTGCCTTTTGAAGTCATGTTGAATCTTTATGCTGTATAATCATGTTCCATTCCATTGTTTTCTGGGACGGTGCAAATATTCCTGTCTGTGCTGATGGTTTACCTATTCTCTTCTTCTTTTGTAAAATAACTCTCAACTCTGTACATTGTTCATGGAATAAAACATCCAAACACTTCTGTTTGAAACTTTACCTGTGGATTTTCATTCTTTATTGTCTAATCTGTCCTCTGTGTTCTCAATTAAATCATATGAATGTGATGAAAGATGATTAAACCCTGATTTGATTAATTAAAAACAAATTAATATTAATTGGAGAACTGACCTGTTCATTCACTATTATGAAGACCTAACCTAACATTAATCTCTTTGTAATGGTAAATATGAAGACCTTTGCTGTTTTGAGAGAGAAATGAAGCCTTGAGAAGAATAAAGTCTTTATTTATTCTCAGTAACTTTTCTGGGCTCGCATCACCAAGCAACAGCGTTTCAGCCAGTTAGTTCTAAGACAAATATGTGTGAGAAATATCATTGGGTGACTGTCTGGAGTAAATCCCTGGCTCATGGATAATCACAGGAGCTGGGAATCATGCGCGGCCGCTGGCTCATGAAAACTGCAGCAACGCTTTCACTCATATCAGTGAGATGAGGCTTTGAAATGATTAGTCAAAGGATTTTCTACCCGTGACTTGGTCAGTTCCTGTTACATAAAATGGGACAATTCCCTAGGGATAATTGGGTTTTGTTCGCCTCACCGGAAACCAGGCCTAATTTTCCACAGTTGGCCTTGGATTGCACTTTGTAAACACCTTAAATTGGACAGAAACACTTTGATAAACCCAGGGGGGCGGGAAGAGAAAATGGCTCCATAAGATGAAAATTGGCTCCTGATCATGGTTTGGGTGACTGCTGCTCTGCTCTTACTGGCAGCTTCAAACGTGTTCAGCTTATCAGGTGTTAGGAATCAGATATGAGATGCAGGTGACCAGGAACTTTATCAAGGTGGTTTTGTTGAGTCAGAAGTTCGAGATGCACCTGCTCAACATCTTGTGAAGCTTAAATTCCTAATACTCCCTCTCTTTTTGCCCCCCCACTCTCTGTCTCCCTCTCCCCAATCCTCTCTCTTTCTCTCTGCTTCCAAGACTCATGGCTGTGGAGGATGAAATAAGGGGAGGAGCCATTTATGAGCCAAAAACCAGGATTTTCGCTGATCAGGTCTGTGAGACTGCTTCTTCTCTCGTCGAGTTCGTGTGTTGGGCCTTGTTTTCCCCCTTTCTTCTTTCCTGTACTCTTCCTCGCCTTGCTATTGCAATGACCTGGTCTACTGTGTGGGTGTGTGTGTGTGTGCGTGAGAGAGTGTGTGCGGTCACTGTTCTGACTGGATTGCCCTGTCCCTGACCTGTCCTTTATGTTTGGGTTCGAATGCCATCCGTCTGCAAGCAAAACGGGGAGCTTTGACGATGAAAGACTGTCACTGTTTGCTTTCCTCAGAGCTATTGAAGTCTGTCTGTGTCTGTGGTGATGTTGCCGGATCCGCAGCTCTTTCTGAGCAGGTCTGGGTTCAGAACCGCCTGAAATTAGATGATGCAGAACCCGGGGGTTAAATGAAACCTAACTGTGCAGCGTGGTCACCATCCCGAGGCGGCTGTGTTTTCAGGAGCTTCGTCACTGCGATGCTTCGTGGCCTCATGCCCCCCTCCTTCTCTTACGCTGTCAGATTGTACCAGGCTCCTTTAGAGCATGAGACTAAAAATAATACAACATTAATGTTCACATATTGTAAATATTAAAATTATGATTGCTATTTATGCATCTTAAGTGTTTATTCATATTTGTATTTAAAATTTGGAGACAATTTTAGGGTTTTTGCACATTTTATGGCTCTTACATTTTCTTCCTGACTTAAAGTTCATCTTTCACATTATCCTGTTAAAACACACCTACAGATAGAACCACTTTAAAATGTCAGTATTTATTAAACAAAGCAATCAAAGTATATAAAAAAAGAGAACTCAAATCATCATATGACTATTAATTAGGTGGAAAGGTCTATCCAAGCTTGCGTGTGTGGAGAACACAACCAGAACGTGCAAAATATTTACTTTTTCAGGTGAACTAATTCAGGTTAAGTCAAATCAATATAGTTGATTACGGTTATAAATGAGGAAGACTAAAAGTTAGCATTAAATCAACATAAACATATTTTGCATTAAAGGTGGAAAAGGTTACAAATACATTCTGGATGTTAAATAAAAAATCTGGAGAAGATCCGTAATGTTTCTCATGAGCCTTTCTGCTTTGGCATGTCCTAATGCGAATGGCTCTTTCTTTCTTTGGACATATTTTCAAAGTTAACTCAATTAAAGGCTGGGGAGAAAAAAAATCAAAGGAAATCCTAAGGGAAGATCTCCATTAGTTTCCCTTCAAAGCAGCAGAAATCAAAAAGTTCATTAAGCATGCCATGAGATCAGAAGATTCATCTGAGTGCAACAAAGATCTTTATTACACACTTTTTAACTACTTCATTAGAGCATTTCAGTTGAATATGGTTCAACAGGATGAAGTACAGCCAGTTTCTGCACTTTGTCCAAACTATTTTTTAAAAGAAAAAAGGCATTTGAAGTTTTTCATTAAATCCTAGAGTGAGAATAATGTGGATTTTGTGCAGAAGTTGCAATTATGATTCTGTCAAGTGGGATTCAGTAAAGATGTGACTTCAGAATGAGTTTTATTAAAATAACAAATGTTTAATGTTAGCTATCTAAATAAAAATAACATTTGTCACATGTTTTCTTAATTTATAAATTATTTATGATTAATTCAGGAACTGACTAAAAATGTCTCACCTAGATGAAGATTCCCAGTGGTACTCTTATGTTATTGGATTTTATTTACCATTTCTAATGGATCAATATAAGATTAAACATTTGACAGATTATTACTAAAGGTCTTGCAATTTTTAATAGTGGCTTAATTAAATAATTTATTGTAATAGGAGAGCTGTAATAGAGGAAGAATCAAAGAAACAGAAAACATCAATTAGACAGAGGAACTTAAATAAACTTGTGCCTAGGGTGGCCTCTAGTGGCACAAATTAAAAAATGCATCCAATTGAATATTTTAAATGCAATTCAAGAAGTTAGTATTTTACAGCCACTGTTTTGTCTGTTACTTTTTAACTGTGATAATAAAATGTTGGTGCAACAATATAAATATTTTATGGTATGCTACTAAAAGAAATACTGCAATTAGATAGATTCGGTATACAATACGTTTGAATAGCATCTTTTAAATATTTATATTTAAAAATGGTTTGCTCAGTGGGAAAATGTTTATGAGTGTTTTAGTCCAGATTAAACTTTAGCTCTTCCTTTCACTGTTGCATTGTATATGAGTGTCTGAATTGTTGTGAGTGCAAAGTAGTTACATTTTGAAACCATGATTCCTGATCTGTGTGTGATTTTACATAATGCAGGGATGAAACTATCTTCTGGGTTTTTAATCTGTATTTAGAGTTGATGCATGGTTGAAATGAGCATGTTGTTCAAGCTGTATTTTTCCCTTTCTGAACCAGGGAATGTTCCAGATTCAGCTCTGAAGCCAGTTTATCAGCCGTTATCACATCCAGATGTCGTTTTGGAGTTGCACGATTTAACACCTTCTTGTTTTCTATTTGCATGACTTCTGCTAATGATGAACTGCATGGCATGCTGCTGGAAGGCTTTCAGGCTGTTAAGTGTCTGAAACTGTTTGGTGTTTTGGCAATTATGTTCTGTATGTGTATGTAAATGTGCTTCAGGAAGGATTTTATCTGTATATTTATGTTCTTGTTTTCTGTTCACTTTGTGTTGTGTACTGTATGTGTTATGTTTTGGTGGCTGTTGTGTTTTTCCTCGGCCCTCACTGCCCTTCTGAATCCTTTCGTCTTGCGCACCAGCTTTCCCTCCTGATTTTGGCTCCCTCCTCCCAACTCTTAGTTTTAGCCTTCCTTTCCTTTCCTCTTCTTTCCTCTCCTTTCCTCCTATGTTGATGAGATACGGTGATTTCTCTTAGGGGAGGCGTCAGTCCATCCTAGTGCAGCCCCGACTTGCGCCTGTCCCACCCCGAGTACCCAGGTAATAACCCAAACCGCCAACCTTTCACTCCATCCATAACTCTGCCTCTTTTCCACTTCTACTGTTTTCTCTGTGTGCATCCCTGTGCAAAAGCAGCACCTTTTAATTTCCACCGCAGGTTAACACACTTTATTTTTCCTGTCATCTTCACTGCAAAACACAAAGAGGTCTGTCAGAATATTTTCACATGCATTTTCAAATAATAACATGTATGATAATGATAGAAAAAAAAAAGTCTCAGAAGCTAAAGTCCAAATAGAAATGTTATATATTATAGTTCTTTTTATGAAACTTACGTTTCTTACCAGCTTTTAAAAAAAAACAGAGAAATTGTTAAGAAGAGGACAAAAGGGAAAATATCAGACCCACAATATTTGTTGGAGCTTAAATCCCATTCTTATAAAACATTAACTTTGGTATTTTTAATCAATTTAACCAAAGAAAGTCAGTGACATGGTCTCTCTTTGTCACAGACTAATTTCAACAGAAAGGCTAAATATAAAAAAAATTATTGAATGAATAAGAACAAAAAGAGAAAACAGGCAGATCCCAGAGCTTTCACCAGTTGACATGAACAAACAAAATAGCTGAAACCTGAGACATGGAACCAACCAGGAACAAATAAAACTATCAGAAATAAAAACAATCCCATCCCAGGTGTGTAACAAGAGTAAAGAGAACAAAAATTAATTCTGAAAATGAAATAAAAATTCTGAAAATGAGAGAACTTAATAAAAGAAAAGTTATGTTGGACAAACTTAATAATAAACATACGATTTAAATAAAATTAAAATTAAAATGGGACTCGTCTTCGTTATATTTATTGAGTTAGGTAGAGTTTTGTTTTCCAAGCAGGAAGTTATTTTTCTTCTGACAGACCTCTAGCAACACTTCACTTGACTGACCTCAGAATGAAATATTTATATTTATCTTTATGTGTTGAGAAAATGAGACAAGCAAGTTTCTACAAAAACATGATAAATATTTGGTCTGTACTATATACTCTATACTATTTTGCTAATAATCAGAAACCCATATAGGCCTTTATTTTTGTGTTTTGCTATTAAAATATTAACTGTCAATAAATATTTAATATCCATTTGAGGGGCATTAAGATTATCATGCATTAAGTAGCTACATGTTTCAGCTGAGCTGCAGACATGATGCTTCTTTTAAGAACGTAGATGGAGAAATGCTATAGCAGGCCAGGCCAGCTGAATTGTTTTGTGGATCTAGAGAAAGGACATGAGAAGACAGAAAAATGTGAGGGTGGACAGCTGTGAGGGGTGAGTTTGGGGATGGATATGGGATCAGCTCTGAGAATTACTTAATGACCAAGAAGTTCAGGAACACTGAAGTGGTTTATCTGACAAAATACTCTCAAGATTTTCTTTAGGAGTGACTAAAAGGAATTGGAGAAGGATGAGTTTGGTCCAAAACCCAGATTAGGTCAGATTGGGGGCATTTATCCGTCTGGGTTTAGAGTCTTTCCCTCATGTAGAGGAGTTTAATTGCTCTTATCTTGAAGAATAATGGTGGGATAGAGGCTGAAGCACATAGACAGACTGAGGTTTTATCAGCAGGAATGTTAACATCACTTATGTAAGTAATGTTCACTTATATCCGGGTAGCTAAAAGTAGGATACTTTCAGTAGGAGGGATCTGGAAATAGTAACATCTTGGACATATCAGATGGATTATTATTTCATTATGAAGTTATTTTACCATTTTTCATGGCGAATTGTCAGATTTTGAGGTTTGGCCACAGCCACGTTCTTTGATGTAGCTAAAACATTTTGATAACTTTTGATAACCATCCTTGGATGGATGGACAGACAGATGGATGGATGGAAACTCAGGTTTAGCAGTTTGCATTGAAACAAGAGACGGTTGAGACATGTACAAAAGGGAGTTAGTGAACATATCAGTCAAAGAATGATGAAGAAAGAGCTGCCATGGAGGAAGAAAAGAGGAAGACCACAGACAAATATCATAGAGAAGACAAACATGTAGACACGGTTTTTGTGTCTGAGATACGGCACAGTTCTTTTCTTTTATGGTTTTTACAAATTTAAAAAATATTATTCATTTGATATGAAT